CCAATAATTAGTTGTTTAGTTCAGTTGTCTACCTGTAAAATTTCAGCGTCGTACATATAATAATTTACGAGATAATTAAATAAAAGTCATTAGAAGGTGCAAGACCGTGGTAACCCGACTATGTTTAGGTGGTTACATAAAAGCGATCACCCAGTACATTGTGCTGGCTTTTAAAATATGTAGGATATTATTTGCAAGTTTACTACGGATATGTACATAAGTGTTACAAAAAACTACATGTTTTAAAATAATTTTTATTTAGGATTGTTTATTGCATAATTAGTAATCAGCCGGGAGATTAGGTATTGTTTTGAATGCTTTTGTTTTCTCGTAATGTTTAGGTGAATTGTTTATAGTTGTTCATAGAATTGGTACCTGTGTAGTATTTGATAATTGAAGTTTAATTTTAGGGTAGGTATAGGTAATTTAAGTTTTGAAGAGTGTAACGTATGCGTTGTAAATAGGTATTTTGTAAATAGATTGGGATTTTTTTAAAGTGATAAATCGGCTTAGGCTAGCATATCGCGAACAAACTCTGCAGTGCATTATTTCTGTAATAATGTATGAGAAAATAAAATATTTGATCACAAAATCGCGGTGAGTTAAATTATAATAAAATAAATTATTTATGTAAAATTAGTAATAGTGATATACCTACAAGTTATGATCGTTTTTAATTTGTTCACCCCGAACGAAATTTCAATATTAGCATTGGTAATTAACATCCTAAGACAAGAATTCGCAATTACTTAAATTGAATCTAATTAGCATTAATTCCCATTACTAGTAATTAGGTACACACATATTGAAGAACTCCCAAGAATACGATAAATATTTGCAAAAATAGAAAGCGGAAGCGTACACGCACTTCACAAGACGTATATTATCTGCCTAAGGGTCAAGTTTAGTGCACTAGATGCAAATTGCAAACAATGAAGTATCCCTTCGCCCGTCCCCTCCCGCGTTCTAGCTAAGGATGTATTATCGGCGATTCTTGATTGACAAATATTATCTGACCAATAATTTTATCTATAAAAATGTATCACTTTCACTCGATAAATTAAATTACCGTTATTATATCAAAATATCATTCAACAACTGTTCGTTTTTAACAGAAATCAACAGTCACAGGTAGGTACATAGGTATAGATAATTCTCGGTTCTCGGTATAGACCACAGAACAATATTACCTACTCTTACGAGGTATACGACTGTTGGGCGATGCAATGTTTATGCATTCTAATTTACAACTATATTCTTCTACTATTATGGTCTATTTTAACTAATTGTAGATGACTTGTTTCTTTAAATATTTTGATGCATTCAAGTCTAAGCTCTATATACCTCAAAATAAAATACAATTACTTCAGTGTTATTTCTTCACAAAAAAAATCAAAGAAATGAAACGATTTCTTAATGGTTTAAATTTTCGATTTATTGCAGTCAGGTGAATCGTTCATACATGTATCTACATATTTATAATTTTAGCGGGCCAGTGCAGATTTTCTGTTGATTGTAGCTCCCGTAGTTAAACAGACTAAAGAAATTTTAAGTAAAGAAACTAGTGCTTAAGATCAATTAGGAAAAAAGAACAAAATAAATAATAGGTAATAATAATGAATAAATATTGAATGTATTTAACACTGTACGCAACTGTACCGAAATCGTAAGGTCTATTACACTAAACATTTTAAAAGACAGCGCAATGTACTAGGTGATCGCTTTTTTGTAACCACCTAAACATGGTCGGGTTACCACGGACTTGCACCTTCTAATGACTTTTATTTAACTATCTCGTAAATTATTATATGTACGATACCGAAATTTTACAGGTAGACAACTGAACTAAACAACTAATTGTTGGCATAACATTCAGTTTATATATCCACACACAGGTTTATCAATGGCCAAAAAAGGCCGCACACATTGTGATCGTGAACGTGGAGAGCTACATTTCATCATAACTTTTTAGTCACTTACAGTATTCTTACGAAAATTCGTATACATTTGAAGGTAGTTACAAGCAATAGAATAACGTTTCAAGTAAGTCTTTAGAGGTCTTATTCAAAGTGTTAGGACGTATTGAAGTGTTTTCATACTTACCTAAATAATTTTTAAACGGTCCATTATTTTTATTATTTTACTGTCGAACAAATTAAAACTAATCCTTAGGAAGTTATGTACAAAAGATGGTTACAATCCGCTTACCCGTTTCAGAGATCCAGCAAACCCACAAACGTTACTCCAGCAGGATCTCGAATAACTTCGCAGCCGAAGAAAATACAAATACCAAATAAATTGTAACATTTACCTAGTCCAGATAACTAATTATTTAGCTAAAATTTATTTCAATATTACAATTAAAAAAGAAAATGTCTGGCTGCGGTAACGTTTCAAACGTTACCCCAGCAGGAAATGTTTTTTTGAAATAACTAAAAAAGTTTAAGAGAAACAAATTTAAAAATGTGCTTAACAATTACAGAAGGGGAGCAACTAATTATCTATAACGTTTAAATGACCATTTTCGACATTATTTTGCTGGGGTAACGCACACGATTCCTGTTACTATTTCAAAATTAAAGACTGCAAGTAACCTAATTCACCAATAATCTAACCATAAAACGCCGCATGATTCAGTAGAATTTGTTAGGTAGTTACTTTGGGTTACTAGTAGACTTGCAACGAATAGTATATTCGGCAGTATACCGAATACCGAATATTCGGCGAGGCCCCTGACCGAATAGCCGAATATTAGGCAAAAGTATTCGGCTGGATTTTAGCGCCAAAAACTTGTACAGACGTGAATTAAATTATGTACCTGTTTTATGTACCAATGACTACTTAATAAATGATTATAAAAGAAATGAGAACCTTACCCTTCTAAATTTTGATTACCACAATAATTCAAATACATAGAATCCTCCATTTTTCCAATTTAGAAGATGATTATGTACCTGTGTTATGCACCAATGACTACTTAAATGATTATAACAGAAATGAAAATATGAATATATACGTAATCAATCGATTTTAATTTTTCATTTTACCAATTGTTTCTCAATGACAAAATATATTATTTAAGTATTCGGTATTCGGCCGAATAATATGTAGATATAATAAAAACAGCCGAATATGCCGAATACCGAATAGTAACCGAATATTCGTTGCAAGTCTAGTTACTAGCAATTAAGATTTATCATGCTAAGCCAAGCAAAGTCGCCGTCTACTACTGGTCATATGCCTCTCCTTAGCCAGAGGATTATCTCGCTTATTTATAATAAGGTGGCATGCAAAATATTATTATGACCAGCCAGCACAATGTACTAGGTGATCGCTTTTTTGTAACCACCTAAACATGGTCGGGTTACCACGGACTTGCACCTTCTAATGACTTTTATTTAACTATCTCGTAAATTATTTTATGTACGATACCGAAATTTTACAGGTAGACAACTGAACTAAACAACTAATTGTTGGCATAACATTCAGTTTATATATCCACACACAGGTTTATCAATGGCCAAAAAAGGCCGCACACATTGTGATCGTGAACGTGGAGAGCTACATTTCATCATAACTTTTTAGTCACTTACAGTATTCTTACGAAAATTCGTATACATTTGAAGGTAGTTACAAGCAATAGAATAACGTTTCAAGTAAGTCTTTAGAGGTCTTATTCAAAGTGTTAGGACGTATTGAAGTGTTTTCATACTTACCTAAATAATTTTTAAACGGTCCATTATTTTTATTATTTTACTGTCGAACAAATTAAAACTAATCCTTAAGAAGTTATGTACAAAAGATGGTTACAATCCGCTTACCCGTTTCAGAGATCCAGCAAACCCACAAACGTTACTCCAGCAGGATCTCGAATAACTTCGCAGCCGAAGAAAATACAAATACCAAATAAATTGTAACATTTACCTAGTCCAGATAACTAATTATTTAGCTAAAATTTATTTCAATATTACAATTAAAAAAGAAAATGTCTGGCTGCGGTAACGTTTCAAACGTTACCCCAGCAGGAAATGTTTTTTTGAAATAACTAAAAAAGTTTAAGAGAAACAAATTTAAAAATGTGCTTAACAATTACAGAAGGGGAGCAACTAATTATCTATAACGTTTAAATGACCATTTTCGACATTATTTTGCTGGGGTAACGCACACGATTCCTGTTACTATTTCATAATTAAAGACTGCAAGTAACCTAATTCACCAATAATCTAACCATAAAACGCCGCATGATTCAGTAGAATTTGTTAGGTAGTTACTTTGGGTTACTAGTAGACTTGCAACGAATAGTATATTCGGCAGTATACCGAATACCGAATATTCGGCGAGGCCCCTGACCGAATAGCCGAATATTAGGCAAAAGTATTCGGCTGGATTTTAGCGCCAAAAACTTGTACAGACGTGAATTAAATTATGTACCTGTTTTATGTACCAATGACTACTTAATAAATGATTATAAAAGAAATGAGAACCTTACCCTTCTAAATTTTGATTACCACAATAATTCAAATACATAGAATCCTCCATTTTTCCAATTTAGAAGATGATTATGTACCTGTGTTATGCACCAATGACTACTTAAATGATTATAACAGAAATGAAAATATGAATATATACGTAATCAATCGATTTTAATTTTTCATTTTACCAATTGTTTCTCAATGACAAAATATATTATTTAAGTATTCGGTATTCGGCCGAATAATATGTAGATATAATAAAAACAGCCGAATATGCCGAATACCGAATAGTAACCGAATATTCGTTGCAAGTCTAGTTACTAGCAATTAAGATTTATCATGCTAAGCCAAGCAAAGTCGCCGTCTACTACTGGTCATATGCCTCTCCTTAGCCAGAGGATTATCTCGCTTATTTATAATAAGGTGGCATGCAAAATATTATTATGACTATAACCCAACAATGTGTAAATACATTATATTGATCTATATCCATTTCTTTGTTTTAGTGTTCGCGTGTGTAATGCAGCGATGTCGGTGTCGGTGAGGGCGGCGCTGCTCTGCGCGTGCGCATTGCTTTTGCAACACGGTAAATATACACTATCTACGTTAAATATCTAAGAAAAATGTAAAGTCTGTAAAGTTTTTTAATCATAAACATGTAATAACAGATAAATCTGATTACATTTAAGTAGGTAGGTATTATCTCGGCTATTGATGTTTCAAATAATTGATTGTCAACTGAAAAAAAAGGAAAGAGTACCTATTTACAAAATGACATCCTATGTGTAACACGTTTTTTTAAACCGGAAAGAAGTACCTACCGACTTGATGTTATGCTGTCTGGAAATAAAACGATGATCCGTCAAGAGCATAACAATAGTTTTATTTTGAGGATTCTAGTGGTTGAGTAAGAATTTAGGTAAATTCTAGTCTGGCAAACACAAGTACCTCGTTTAAATGTAACTAACTATACTCTCTAAAAAATATACACAAACTAATTTACTAATATTATGTAATAAAAACTCTTGCAGCTAGCGCGGAGCTTAAGGGAAGATGTGATGCACAAATGAATTGCCCGGCGAGGGCAACACCTTGCACTACCGATGACGAATGTGGAGAGCAGATCTGTTGTAACACAACATGTGGACAGACTTGTGTAGATCCTTTATTTACTGGTAAGTTTTAAGTTGATTTTAAATATTACATAACTTTTTCATTTAAATAGAATTTAGTTCTTGCCAGTCCAACGAACATCTCAATAAATATTTAGCTGTTTCGAAAATGTCGATAAATATTTTTTGTAAGGAATTTAATGGAAATTATGTAATAGAAAAGAAGTTAAATTAATTAGCCATTTAATTTTGTGTCTCTCGTTTATTTGCCATTTTTTTGTCGCCGAAAATTTGCACCACAAGTTAGGGGTGACCACGTTCAAAATAAGCAAATACATCCTGAGAGGGTTGAGGATTAAATTATTTATTTATATATGACACACAATACAACTATTTTTACAGGTACCTAATACTATAGTGTAGCCATTCGTTGTTAAAACATGTATAGTGGTAAATAACACTTATTTTATAAACAATTTTAGCAACCTCATTCATCACTACAGGCGGACACACAGTCACACTCATATACTTCCAATCACACAAATCACAGACAAACCACTCCCAGACACGGCACATACTGACCCGCCTATCACACAACCACTCGTCCCGGGCGGGAATCGAACCCTCGATCTCCGGCCCACTAGGCCGACAGGCCTCACGTATTACAGGTCCATGTTATAGCAAATTTGCATTCAACGCTACTCCTGTGAATTCACTCAGAGCACAACTATGCAATTATGGGTTAAGAGATGATGATGATGATGATTAAATGAACAGAGCACACACATAGGTGTAATAGTAACTTGCAATAAAGTATTTAAGTCAAATAATAAATATTAAATGACACCTATTTCTTTTTTATTTTAGTATCAGAAAATTAAATTTCTAAAATTAGTTTTATCCGTCATAATTGATTTCTTCCAACAGGGTGTGAAAATTTAAAGCTATCATCAGAACGGATATCTCGTGCCTTAGCAGCGGAAAACAGTCGAGGTGGTAGAGGGAAACGCCCATCTATGAGGACTCCAAGATGTCGAACCTCTGATGGAGAGTTTGAGGAAATCCAGTGTGACAATGAGATTGTAAGCTCTTGTTGGTGTGTCGATTCTACTGGGTTTGAGGTGAGACATTTTTCTTATCCATTCACTCAAAGTTACTGGCGTCAAATTATATTGCAATTCTTCATAAAAACACTTTCCAGCTTTTAACTTCTAACTGTTCTACTTATTATTGTTAAGAACGAGAACATAAAATAAGGTTTCAGCTATTGCCTAGCGACTTATTATTTTTATTTTGGTACCTAAAATGTAAGTAATGTGGGTAATTGAGTTTGCGTATTATGCGGTAAAAGATTGTGTAAAGTTCAAATAAACTAGTTTTGTAATTATTTCGAAATATACTTACTCAACTCATGATGCAATTTCCAGATACCAGGAACTAGGGCGCCAGCAGCTGGCTTAGTTAACTGCACTCGTGTGGCACCGTGTGCAGCTCACACTTGCCGCATGTTATGTCCACTGGGCTTCGAGTTAGACGCTAAAGGTTGCCCACTTTGCAAGTGTCGGGATCCCTGCAGTGGGGTAACTTGTCCTGGACAGCTGTCTTGCCAGTTAGAGGAAATTCCGTGTCTTACACCGCCGTGCCCACCAGTACCTACTTGTAAGTTGAATAACACGCTTGTAATAGGCATAAAGTTGTTAATGCTTGTTATATGGGGTATTAGAACAGTAAAGGCTACCTACAATAGAAGTACTATTCTCTACACATAACATACTTTAGTTTCGTCCAGAGGAAAACAGTCATCGAACTAGTCTAGAACTCTAACTGTTGGCAACTTCAAACTCTCTGATTTCAATTGCTAACTGTCTGGTATAAAACTATCCTTCTCCATACGGACTGGATGGAGAAGAATTGAAGACTGGTCTTACTATATTTGAGTCGTTCGATTAAACGATATATGTACGCTTTCAGTTCATCAAAAAACATGTGACGATGGTCCAACAATTATTTTTGATTTTGTACCTTGAATGGAACACCTGTGGAAATTTATTCATTTTCTTAATTAATACATAATTTTATGATTATCTAATATTATTAGTAATCCAAAAAATTATGGCCGAATTTATTGCATAAACAAAAATTATAACAAAATGTACATTCCTTTTTAGGTAAACGGGGTCGTAGTCTACAAAATATCTGCCCGGTTGGAGAACCGCTTTTAATATCAGAAACAAGTCGCCCGTTCCTGTGTGGCACTGATCCTGGAAAACCTAATTGCCCACCTTTATTCAGATGTCTTGTGGAATCAGGTATTATAAATACTGTCATGCCATTTAGAAATGATATTTCTTCCTATACTCAAACTTCAAATATGGGCAATCCCAAAGAATTTTCTTAGTAGATATGAATCCACCAGAATTCAACATTTGCTAAAAAAAACGAAGTTACGGAATTCAGGTAGGTACTCAATAATAATAATAATATACCTACATGATTCTTTAAAAAGCTGCTATATAAAACAACTGCAGAATCATAAGAAAAAATCTGCAAATAGACGAACAAATACACAATGGAATAGACGAATAGATCTAATAAACTTCTCCCAAGAACCCGTGGCATTTACGTGACGTATTCCGTTAATGTCACTTAAATACTACCAGCGAAAGCTGAGAAAGAACAACTTCAGCATAAAAATAATAATAATAATAATTTATTTTCAAATATATCACGTTACATTTACTATGACAACCACACTAGGCAGAGTCTATGTCGTGGCTATCGAACCATACGATTGTCTTATGCCTAGGACTTAACTAATATTTACACATTTATTTTATATTTCTGTACTGTTCTTAATTGTATGCGTATGAGTGTGTGCGTGTGTGTGTGCGTGTGTGTGTGTGTGTATGTGTGTGTATGAATGCGTAATTCAGTTACCTGTCAGATTATAGTTTTTAAGAGTTCTTCTGTATCCTTATAATTTAAGGCGGTGATAAAATCTTTAATTTTAGTTTAAGCTTCAAACATTTAGCAGTGCCGCAGATCGCATGCATATCTTTGCTACTTTAAGGAAACATATGCTTAGGAAACCTCTTTGCGAAACTCGTTTTACATTTTGTAGTAGTGAACTCAAATACTCTAGCATTCACTATAGAGTTGTAGTCAGAGGAATGTATTGCTAAATCGTGCGAGTGGACTTAATCAACACGATTTCATATTGTCACCAGACACTGTCGATGTTATACAAATTAACTCTCGGTGAGGTATAACATTTATTTAATAGGTCCCCTTGGTCATCTTAAATGAACAGGGCACACACATTTGGAAGTAAATTAAGGACATGAGTCGTTTTCGTATGATAAACTTTCTGAAATACATAATCAGGTGTAGTCTTCTCAATAACTTCATCTTATGCTTCTTATCACATGATTCCTTATGTTTTCATTAGGAAACGACTACGGTGTTTGCTGTCCAGCATCACTAGAACTTCAAAAAGCGGGAACTTGTCCTGTCCCTACGAACAATGACCTGGACTGCGGCACTCCTTGCGCCCACGATCTTGAATGTCCATCGATGCAGAAGTGTTGCGATGGTGGAGAATGTGGCAGACACTGCATATTGCCTCACAATGTGACTATGTGTACTCAACAGAAGATGATAGCGGAGTTGTTGGTCATCAGTGAAAAAGAGGGAAGAGGATATGTACCCCAGTGTGGTCATGACGGATCATTTATATCAAGACAGTGTTCCAGAAATGGACTAGTTTGCTGGTTAGTTAATTTCAGTTTATTACTGTCTTGGCACAAGTAACAATTTTTTTGTAAGAAGTGCAATTTTATCATTCTGTATATATGTCAAATTCCTATTTAATCAACGCTAAAAACATTTCTTTTAACTCAGTCATTTGTTCTCATCAGGTGCGTAGACGCAGAAGGCAATAAACTCCGAGGTTCAATGGGACCGTCCTCGTCAGTTAAATGCTCAAGTTTACCTCTCCCAGCCCGCAGTGGTGCTCGAAGCCTAGACTCTTGCGCACGTGCGTTGTGTGCAGGAGTGTGCGAGTACGGATACAAAATAGGTGCAGATGGATGTCCTACTTGCGAATGTGATGACCCTTGCGCTGGTTTCCCTTGCCCTGATAATGAGGAGTGTGTCAGGGTTAAGGATGCTGAATGTTCTGGGGAATTGTGTACCGGGTATCCAGTTTGTAAGTATGAATTGATAATATTATTGACGATAGATAGGGCACCGTTATTTCCAATTAAACTATGACCTGGAAAAGTCATGTTCTTTTCAATAAGAACATACTTTGATTAGAGTCATGCTATATACTTTTTCAAATTGGACTATCCAATGCCCTCAATAAACAAAATAAAGTTTTCTTCATGGATAAAAACGCATAGATAATAAAACTATTGTATTTAATTTCAGGTCGACCAAAAGGATCATACGAGAACCCTTGCGAAGTCGGGGCTCCAGCTACAGACGAGGATGGTTCTTTACTACCTTGCGGAGTAGAAGCTGATTGTCCCTTAGGACACGCTTGTACAACGACCAGAAGAAACGGATTAGCCGTCTGCTGTCCAGACCCTCACTATGTTGATAATTCCACTGATAGTGAACTTATGGAGGTGAGATTCTCGTATGAATATAATATTAAAGAAAGTATTGATAATGGTTAAAAGAGAATGTTGCCAGTAAAAAAAATATACACATATATATACTATACATAGGTACTTGCGCATCTGTAAATATTTAATTGTGAACAATTTTAGGTTTTGAATCTTAATACGAGTATAGCAAACAGTAGTCGACGTCAATAGACAGAGACTCTCATGATAAGGCTCTCCCTCTCTTTCTTTCAAGAATAGTTTCTCGTTTCTTCCCACCAACTAATGTATTGTTTATTTCAATAACTTTCAGATAAACTTCGAAACATGTGGTTCAGAGGCAGAAGCTCTCTGCGCACTAAACTCGACAATAACTTGTCCTGAAGGCGAATGCGACAACGACCTCGTTTGCTGCGCAACTTCCACGTGCGGCCCCGTGTGTATCGACGCGGCGAAGATGAGACTGCAATCTGACAGGGTCGATGACACAACAACCAGTTAGTTTAATCATTTTAGTTATCCTTTCCCTTGCAGTACATAATATCTGCTGAATCAAATAAGGCAGAGATCCCTGGAGTTGTAAATCGATATTAAAGCATGAGCCTTATCTGGCGTGAAATCTCTAGTCCTAAACCAGGTATTTGTATTGCATATTGTGTATTCCTTCTACTGCTCAAAATATAACAACAGGAGCTAATTTTCTGGAAGAAAGGTTGAATCTTTTACCAGAAATTGTGGAGGCCTAAAAATGATTAATTAATCAATAATGTTGAGAATGTCATTGCAAAAAACAAGAAAAAATATTTTTTTGGACGTGAGACGTGCTGAACATAGGCTTGATATAATGAGCAATTATGCAGTACTTTTCTCCGCTTCGGGTTACTTCGATCAGATGTCGGATCTAAACAAACAATTTCAATATATATTTCAAATTAATATGACATACTGTTTCTTCTAGTGTGTGAATACCTACGCGATTTTGACGAGAAAATGGAAGGCACAGTAGACGGAATGAAACTAGCTTTGCCAGCCCCAACCTGCAAGTCGGACGGTTCATTTACTTCACAACAGTGCGCCAACGGCAGCTGTTGGTGCGTGGACTCTTTCGGAACGGAGATACCAGAAACTACTACCAATAATGCTTCAGCAATTGACTGTGAAAAGTAAGTTTTATTTATTTCATTAGCACTTTTACCTTTGAAATAACGGTTATTTGGGAATAAATAAATACTCAGTTATCAAAGATTATCGGAAGACGTTGGGGCAAATAACTCATGCGACGCACTATAAAATTCTTCATCAACAAGTGCAAATTTAATAGTGTCTAGTTTAATAAAATAATTTTATAAAAATTAGCAATTCTTGGTCGATCGTGTAATTGTATAACCCTTGTAAATTTATCAAGCCTACGGAAATCTTATGAGTATCGGTACAATTGCTAGTATACATTAATATTGTTTTACGCCGGAACAAAAGACACGATATTTGTTTTTTCACAATTATATGTTTTCGCGGTAAATGTTACTATAACTTTGTAGTATAATTACTCACGTACAATTTTTCCTTACAAAGAGTCCGTTCTGAGCTCTCGTGCTTGGAGCTCACCTGCCGTATGGGCTGTGACTACGGTTTTGAGTTGGGATCTGGACGTTGTCCCACGTGCAAGTGTCGCGACCCCTGCGCAGGAGTCACCTGCCCCGACGGTCGCACATGCGCAACTGTTGATGTTGCGTGTGATGCGGACTACTGTCCTCCTGTTCCTGCATGTAAGTAAATTTCACTCACTTATCAGTCTTATAATATGATATAGTTATAACTTTTGTATTAAGGTTTATGTTTTAAAAACGTATCAACCGCCACTAAACAAATCCAGTGACACCGAACCAGCGCGATATAAATAATCGTAACACTTTAAAAAAATAATTAACTAAGATACCAATTTCTTAGGTCTTCCAAAGAAGCCAGGACAATGTCCATACCTAGTCCCATCCAATGGTGCATGTGAATGGTCCTGCAGAAGTGACGCAGAATGCGGCCCTATGGAACGCTGCTGTGCCACAGGTTGTGGAACTGCTTGCACTAAGGCAGTACACCAGACTGCTTGTCAGCAAAGGAGGTCAGTCAGTCAACCAGTCAGTTCTTTAAGCGAGGATTAGAACTCAAGTTTCTTCTCTAAAATGAATTTTAAACACGCCTTTAAAATCCAACTATACTTATTATGTGTGTCAACTCCAATAGGTATTGAAATTTTGCAACTCAATTTATCATCTTCTTTGAAAGTGAAAGAAAATACTTTATTTTCACTTTCTCTACTTACATATTTGTATAACAATAAGTTATCTTATTACAGTTTAATTTGTACTCATTTTATCAAGGGTAATATTGTCAGACTGTCACACTTATGGAATGATCATACCCAACTGGTTGAATATATAAAGTAGATTTTATAATGGAGGATCAGGGCAATATGTGGCATTGCACAGTGTTTTGTCTGGTTTTTTAATATGATATCCGATAATCTACAGGGCGCTAGCTTTACACACGGCGGCAGAAAGTGGCAATCCACCAGCCTGGACGTGGGTACCACAGTGTAAAGAAGATGGCGCCTATGAGCTTGTGCAGTGTCGAGGCTCTGACAAGGCATGCTGGTGTGTTGATGTTGCTGGTAATGAGGTCAGTATACGCTGTATGTACACTATACGAGTAACTTTCACGACAAATTACATACGAAAAAACACTTCTAATCAGCTGGCCCAAAACAGTATAGGTACTAATTCTAAGTTAGACTTAGTAGTAGGACTTGTGGCGAAGTCAATAATGGTAATTTAACTTTGTCACTAAGGCACAATACTCGCAAATAACGTATATTGGCCCAATGCGAACAGAAGTATGCGAGCTGTAATCAGTGCTGCAATCGTATTGAAACGCTGCTCGATTCAAATCAATACTTGAAAATTTTCTTTTTGCGCGTCGATAATTATCTAGTTGTTGATCTTAGATTTCGCATTGCCAACCGAGCCGTTTCACGGGCTGCTGTACTTTACTCTTGTAATTGAGAAGCACGAAGTCGGGTCATTCAAAAGCGGCGCTCCTCACGTGCAATTTCTTGTTCTTCTTCAGTGGTTTCATTCGCGATGTTTTGAATCCTAACTGCATTACGTCTTTGTCGGGAAAGATTACATCTTTTTATGTAATATCGGCATAATAAGATTTATTATAATAATAGTCGTAGAAGCTCGTAACACTCGCTTAAAACAAACACATCGACCGGTCAAGTTCAATTTCAACGTTTTCCTGTATTTGGAAAACAAACCATAGACGTGAATGGAATATTACGTGAGCCGTCAGTTGCGTTTGTTATACCATTTATAACAAATGAGACGGCGAGACTGATGTTTTAACTGATGTTTTGTGTAATGGTAATTTTTTTATTGATGAATATAATATTTTTATACTTATTATCCTATTCCGGATGAAGACAAATCCAAAAACACAAAAATCATAAAAATTGGTATGGCCGTTCTTGACTTATAAATGGTGTAACAAACACGATATAGATAGATAGATATTCAATGGAAAACAGAGATAGACGATAATACTATTAATTTATTTGATGATGGGTCAGAAAAAGGTATAAAGGTGTAAACAATAATTTCCTAAATTTACATCACATACTAAACATTGACGAAAAGTCGCTCGTTTCCAAATGGTTGATCCTTGTGAAAAGAAATCTCTTTCAAACTACTACCTGGTAATTAAATTACTATTTTATACTCTATTTTAACTATAATTAGTTGACTGCTTTTATGCTATGTTACTACATGTTATGTATTATATATATACTATGTTACACTTATACTTTAAACATGTACTCGTATAGTACATACAGTAGTAAATTAGTACAGTAAACAAATAGTAAAAAAGTTGTAGTGCCAAAACCTCCTTTCTGAAAAGATACCTATATTATATCCAGCAGTGGACTTAAGCTGTTGATGATGCTCTAAATACGGGAAAACGAAAAAATACCACAAAAAGTAAATGAAAAAATAAGTATTTGATGCATCAGAAGACCCTTTTTTTTGTGAGGTTTGACGAGTCACCGATTTAGTGAACACATTTACCATTAAACGGTTTTAGCAAAATTACCAAGACAACAATACTTACCTAAATTTTAATATAAATGTTATAATAAATACAAAAAAAACATTATTTTACAGATCGCTGGCACCCGCACTTTTAACTCCACACCAAACTGCGATGCACCAATCAAATGCCCAATACCCACCTGCCCAGTAAATGATATTTGTGCTAACGGACGGAAGCTCGACGATAAGGGTTGTCCTACCTGCGATTGCTATGATCCCTGTGCTGAAGCCAAATGCAGAACTGACGAGACTTGCGAACTAGTGCCGTTGGAATGTGAGGTAAGAATTTGACCTACAAGATCTTCCCGTCAAGGTCCATATATGACCAAGAATGTTGTAATTAATAAAAAAAAATTGATAAATTAACAGATATTTGCCGATTTTCCGATTCACGCAAGATCTAAGATTCGTTCTACTTTTATAAATCGTAAATGACAAATAATGAGAATGCCGATTTTGAATAAATTGTACAATGGCGGACTTAATTCAGGGTTATAATTCAGGTTATAATTCACAAGCTTAGGTTTGTGCGAAAATGTGTGACTAGATGCACTAGACCATAGAAAAAGAACTGGTGGACAATTTATGTGTATAGAAAGAGAAGCTATACAGAAACAATGGGATAAATGCCTACACATACATGCATAAATACTTACTTAGTTACATACATAAATATACTTTCAATAAATCTCTGTTCTTCTATTTGCTTTGGTTATGATTAAATTACAGTGCTCGTCCGTAAGTGCTCCCTATACTAAATATTCCCGTCTTTTTTAGTTTTAATAGATACATTTTTTTCCTCGCTAGGGTGTCTCCTGCCCACCTCTAGCCCAGTGCGCCCCAGCCCCTCAGTGCCCTGACGGTGTTAACCCTCTGCAAGCTCCTGATGGTTCGGGACCTTTATTGTGTGGACCCAGCGCTGCCGCTTGTCCGTTCACACACGCGTGCAGATTTGCACCTCATGATTCAAGGCCGTCGGTTTGCTGTCCTAAGCCACGTAAGTGTTCATCATCTGAGTATATACTAATATAATAAAGGTTAATAGTTTTGCCCTAATATCTGGAACTATTGATCAGAGTAGAATAAATTATTGTTGTATTAGATGGAGTATTTACGAAAGAAGTTAAAAACCAAACAAAGGCTATACTACTACTACATCTACTTTATGCGGGCCGGTATATTGCTGATATTTTACCTCGTTTTTTCAGTCTCTGTGCGCGACATATGTACTTGCCTGCTGATCTTATCCGTACTGTTGTGGTACCGATAACCAAGAACAAAACGGGTAATGTCTCGAGCATTTCCAACTACAGGCCCATTTCCTTGGCAACGGTAATGGCAAAGGTACTTGAACGGTTGATACACAAAAAGTTGAGTCCATCCTTAAAGATAAATGATGGACAGTTTGGATTTCGCTCTGAGGTATCAACGGACATGGCTATTTTCTCCCTAAAACAGGTCGTGTCGCAGTACGTCAGCCAAGATACAAGTGTTTATGCTTGTTTCCTGGATCTAAGTCGCGCATTCGACACTATTAATCACGACTTGCTATGGGAGAAACTAGATAACAGTAACGTGCAGGTGGGCGTTGTTGGACTGATTAGATACTGGTACTGTAATCAGTATAATAGTGTCAGGTGGGGGACTGCTATGTCGGACAGCTACAAGCTATCATGTGGTGTTAGACAGGGGGGGTTGACTTCTCCTGACCTGTTTAACCTCTACATCAATGACCTGATAGGGGAGCTGAGCAGGACTCCGGTAGGGCTCAAACTTGGTGACAGATACGTCAACAACTTAAGTTATGCTGATGATATGGTCCTGCTCAGCCCCTCGATCAAGGGCTTAAGAAGACTGCTAGCTATATGTGAGAGATATGCTACAGAGCATGAGTTAGTATACAATGCAAAAAAGACTGAAATGATGGTATTCAGGTCGGGAAGAGGTCCTCAGAACGTGCCTCCGGTGTGGTTAGGAGGACAGATAGTTAACATGGTGGGGAGGTTCAAGTACCTTGGTCACATACTCACGTCAGACATGAGAGATGACGCTGATATCGATCGACAGCGTCGAGCACTCTCAGTCGTTGGTAATATGATTGCCAGGAGATTTTTTAATGCCAATGTACAGACTAAAGTGCACCTGTTCAGAGCATACTGTCAGAATTTCTACACGTGTCAACTCTGGACTGCATATACGAAGAGGTCTTTGGATGGCATTCGTGTTCAGTACAATAATATCTATAGGCACCTTATGGGGTTAGCACCTTTCTGTAGCGCCTCCACAATGTTTGTAGAGACAAGACTGAACACGTTTAATGCCATCCAAAGAAGCCGAATCGCGGCGTTTATGGCCCGGGTTGGTTCGTGTAGGAACACTATAATTAAGGAACTTGCTGACAGGGTATGTAACAGTTCCATGTTTAAAAAATGGTTACAGATAGCTACATAAGTAATGTAACCAAAATAAAGAAATATCATAAACATTATATGGAAACTATTCCGAAATAAAGATTTATTATTATTCTGTAATCTTAATTTTTCTCAGCTCAAGGCTGGTTTCAACTGTATTTACGGGCCAAAACCAAGTAAATACAGTGAGGTGTGTGTCTTTGTTATGTAGATGTAGATGGTGGTTGCTGTGTGTGTTGTGCTGTTCCGTTCTCTTCAATATCCATGAACTTTCTGACTGTTCGGCAAGTGTTCAATATTGCTGCTTTCTGTAGGTTAAAATACACGGATTCATTTAAATTGATTAATTTAAGGCTATGGTGAAGACGTTTAGGTATAACTCCTGTTGTAGGTACAACTATGGGTACTATGTAAACTTTCTCCTGTCTCCAGATTCGTATTATTTCTTCTTTTAGTTCTGTGTATTTGCTAATTTTTTCTGTGATGGTTTTCTGTAGATTGTGTGTATTCGGTACTGCAATATCAATTAGGTAGGTGGTTTTGTTAATTTTGTCTTGTAGGGTTATGTCTGGTCTGTTATAGTGGATGGTTCTATCTGTGAGGATGGCGCGGTCGTAGTAAAGTTTGTGTGAGCTACTTTCTAATACAGATTGAGGAGTATAATTGTAGTAAGGTGTGTTTGTGTTTTGTATAAGATGATGTTTGAGTGCTAATTTTTGGTGGATGATGTTAGTTATTTGGTTATGTCTATGTGTATAATCCGTTTGTGTGAGGGTAATGCATGCTCCAGTAATGTGCTGAATGGTTTCAGATTGAATGTGGCATTTTCGGCACTTATCATCTGTAACGGTTGCATCTTTGATTATATATTTTCTATAATTTTTCGTATTAACTATTTGGTCTTGTATAGCTATTATAAATCCCTCTGTTTCTGGAAATAGGTTACCAATTTTAAGCCATGAATTTGACGCTATTGTATCAATGTGGGGTTGCTCTAAATCATGAGGGTGTCTGCCATGTAGTACCTTTTTTTTTCCAGTTTTCTATTTTGTCTGCCTGTGGGTCTATGTTATTAGGGTTGTGTATTCCAGTGTGATCATTTAAGTTTAGTGGTGTGAAATTGTAGTCGTTTAGAGTTATGGCTTTATGGATGTTACTTGTGTGTGATTTTGTGTGAAAGAATGTTTTTAGATTATAAACTTGTTTTTGCCAAAGATGATAAATATCTATTAGACCCCTGCCACCATTTTCTCTTTTGATAGTAAGTCTTTCTATGGCGGATTTAGGGTGTAGGTTGTTGTGTTTGGTTAATGTAGTGCGTGTAGTTCGTTCTATTTGCTCTATGTCAGTTTTTGTCCATTTTATAATGCCAAATGCGTAGGTGTTTAATGCTTTTATTAGATTTTTAGCAGAAAGTTGGGTTTTGCATAAAGTGTTAGTTCGACTTTTATATTCAGTAGCTAATATTTGTTTGATTGAGGTGTGATCTAGCCCTTTAAGTTGTTTATAACCTAAATATTTGTATAAATCTGTTGACTCCATAGCTGCTATCGTACTTGAATCATCCACTGCGTAGTCCCCAGGGCGTATTTTCCCTCTGATTATGTGTAACGTTTTACACTTATCCAGTCCAAATTCCATATTTATATCTTTACTAAACTTTGTTGTATTTTGTAATAGTTTTGTCATTTCTTTATCGGATTTTGCATATAGTTTAATATCGTCCATGTATATGAGATGAGAGATAATAGTTTCTTCTGTAGAATTCCTCAGACGATATCCTGCCTGACATCGCTGCAGCAAATGAGACAAGGGATTCAAGGCAAGACAGAACCACAAGGGGCTCAAGGAATCACCTTGATATATACCATTTTTTATAGAGATTTGTCGGGTCGTGACTGTTCTATCATTCATATTTAGATGTAATGTGGTTTTCCAATGGCTCATAATATCGCGCATAAAATCTGTGATTTTAGGGTTAATTTTATAGATGTGTAAAATTTTTATAAGCCAAGAATGTGGGATGCTGTCAAACGCTTTCTTATAGTCTATGTAAGTGCAGTGTAAGTTTCTGTTTTTTGTAGTAGCATGTTTATGGATAGTAGAGTCTATGATCAGCTGCTCCTTGCATCCCATGTGTCCCCGCCTGCATCCTTTTTGTTCTTCTGCTATTATGTGATTGTGTTCAATGTGCATATTAATTTTGTGGGCTATTGCTGATGTAAGAATTTTATATATAGTAGGTAAGCATGTGATGGGTCTGTATTGAGAAGGCTGTGGTGAGTGTGCGGTTTTTGGCAGCATATATGTTATACCCATACCTATAAATTCAGGTATATTCTGTTTCCCCAGAATTATATATGTTAAGTTTTTGGCTATAGGTTTGTGAAATGATGTTATCTTTTTGTACCAGTAATTATGTATTTTATCTATGCCAGGAGATTTCCAGTTGTGTAGTTTACCTGTTACGTGTGCAATATCGTCTTCTGTAATACAATCAAATTCCATTTCTTCTATTGAATTCCATTTATTTTCTTCTTCTGTATTATTATTATTATTATTATTATAATCATGGGTAAAACTGCAGGGTAAGCAGGCTAGTAAAAAATAAAATTATAACATCTAAGAAGTATAGCGTCAAAGTATAATGCTGAAAGTTTATTTCGGTGCGTGCCTTGTTGGATATTATTAACTTATTTTTAACGAATACTTAAAAAAAATTGAAATTTCTACGGAGTCCGCCAATCTATGACATTACTAGTCGGATTGAAAAACTTTTTACTTTTGATAGCCTTATTTTTGCGTACGGTAGCTAGTAACGACAAACGTGGATCAAACTACGACACTGGTTCATCGTAGAATAAGAAATTCATTTTATACCTTGTATCCTATAAGGTAGAGTGAAGTTCATCGTACGCAATAATCGTTTTTACAACTTATAACCAAATCCACAGAAAGTTATCAGGCTTTTTAAAACTAATCTCACATTTCGTTTGTTTTAGGTACTGTATGTTTCGAGAACAAAGACGAAGGTTCATGCTCAGATACTGAAGTTCTGAACACAACGAGATGGTACTTCAACCATGAACGTAACCGCTGTGAGCGGTTCAGGTACCATGGTTGCTCTGGCAACCACAACAATTTTAGAACAAAGGAGGAGTGTAACACTGTGTGTCCACGTAAGCTTGACAATCTCTCGTAGATTAATTATTATAGTATTTTGCTTCCTTGTACTAAAATCTTTCCATTTAAAATTCTACCTAATGGTACCATGATCCCTCAATCAAACGATTTCTTTTCTCTTCAAAATCTCTTATTGTAAATAGGCAAAGAGGTATCTTTATTTCTTTTGTAAATACCCTCGGATCTAAAATCCTATTTATAGTAATTATCTTTGGACCTATAACCTTATGTACAGTGCCTTTCTACTATGTACCATTTGTTTTAACAGTGAAAGAAGAAACAGCAAAATTGAACAAGAAGATTACATTTGATATTGACACAGGCATGTCATAATTTTTTGTACCATATTATTTTCGATAACTTCACTTGAAATATAGTGCACCGTGTTCTAATAGCACGCCTTCCTTTGTATCTATTTTCAAATTTTGAGTTTCTTTTTTGTTGGTTGTATTAATCTAAAGAAGTAAAGATATAGTTCATTTGATGAAGCTTGAGACGTAAAGTGTATATTACCCTGTTACCTTCAAGATAAACTGACAGTTCTTATTTTGAAAGAAAATGGCGCTTAACGGTTTTGTCTTGCCCATTTATATAATGTGTTGATAACGTTAAAATATATATTTTAACGTTATCAACACGTATATTTTTTTTATATATTATTTAGCAAGCTTTTATATGACACAATATTTTCCATTCGTCCCCGTACTTTTATTATTTTTTTACTATCGTTTGTACAAGAAGACGTAATGGAGTGTTTTTATTACGTCTCAAGTTTCATTGTGTTAGTTAAAAAGGGGTTAAACATTACTTTCTTGAAAATCCAAATGTTTTGCATGAGCCGGTTAACGAAAAAAGAAATGTTTAGATTAGAGACTGCTTTACATGGAACGGAGCATGGCTTTAATTGTTGTGTAATTATGTTGTGGTAATGTTTAGTTAATCACATCTTAAATAGGCAGCCTCTTTTGAATCCGTAAGGTTTAAAATTGTCACTGGTATTAGTACTGTTATTATTATGTCACATGAAGATGAAGGGAAGAAGAAGAGAGAGCTTTTTTGTTGACGGGACGGAAAATCCCTTCGGATCTCCTGCTCCTCGGGGCTAGGAGCTAGGAGTATGTGGTGATTCCACTAAAAACCACCCCGACGGCCGGCCTCAGGTGCCCTGGACCATGTTATTTCAGGTCCTCCCCGAATTGACACCATGGCTAGTCAGGCCCTATCCCAGGGGAAAATCACTTCCCCCTCAATCGCGACGTGGCGGCCCAAATTCGTAGTAATGCAATCAGGCCGCCATACTATCCCTTACCGCAACATTCAATCAGCGACCAGAGGTCCCCACTCTCTGGCGGCCCGCGGCCCCGTCGGCGGCTGGTATGGTCGCCGACGTCCTCTACGCTCGGGATCGGCCCTCTCCCGATCCCGTTAAGAAGAGAGAGCTAGGCTTGCGCACATATATGTCCAGAGCGATATCACGGACTCACAGTTAACCGATATAAGTATAATATACTCAATATTATTCTTATTATATCACACACTAAAGCCATATAAATTAGGGATATTGATTACTAATTTTCTTATTCCCATTAATAAAATCTCAAAAGTAATGTTTGGTTTTGTGAGATAGGTACGTTTTATCGGCAAAATAATTATATGAAACAATCAAGCAATCTGAAATATATCTGTACATATAGGTCCTGCTTTGATAATGAGCGCTAGATAATAATTTTTTGAAGTATTTCTATTTTTTAAAAAACTCGTGTCATGTCAAACCAGTAAATTTGTAAACATTAGTACCTACTAACACAGCTATGGTTGCCAAGCTCTGTAGCATAATATATCAATTTAACATTTAGTCCAGGTTTATAATGTGTTATACATTATATACTCGTATGTGTTATATATGTAGGTATATACCTAATAACCATCTCATGACTATCATGATCATTTTTAGTGTTGAGCCCATGTGAAAGACTGAGGGAGAAGAACGAGATAGCAGCACAAAAATACGGCAAAGGCACGTTCATACCGAAGTGTGATGGTAATGGCACTTGGGAGCCAGTACAGTGTATGTCACACATTGGTAAGTGGATATCATAAATATATCAATATATTGGCGCAAAAGAAAACAACTTATTTGGAATAAAATTAGTATTTTTGTCTAGTATTATAATTAATCATCAACTCTTGACCAAAATTTATTAATGGTAAAAATAAGCCTTCATTGATAAGCCTCTTCTAGAAAAATAATTGTTAAAAACCTTTGGGTAGGCTTTCTAAGAGAACTGGGAGGAAAAGACGTAAAAACAATATCGATGTTCTGTCTGGTTTTAAAGGAAATTAAAGTTATACATTTCCTTTTCAGATGTCTGTTGGTGTGTAAGCTCGAGAGGGGAACCACTAAAGGGATCTTTAGTCAGAGGCGGTCAACCCCATTGCAACTTCAGGCAAGCGCGAAAGTATATTCCTCGTGTTAATCTAGATGAAAAAGCCAGAGCCGACGAAGGTAAGTCACGGTGTACTTTGCCTAAAAATATTTTAAAAAAATCGAGAATCGAAGGTTTTATGGTGTTGTATTGCCTCTGACATTTTTGATCTTTTTTTTGCAGTGTTAGAGGAACTGATTAGACAAATGACAGCGTATAGAATAGACGAGTTTGATGAAGAAGACGACGAAGACATCGATCTCGATGCCGTAGGTCGAGAAGGGGACAAAGAACTAGAACAGAAAGACGAAGCTGTATTAATATCTGAAGTAGTAGAAGTAAAACCTGCAGATAGGACTAGGATAGTAGAGAAGCCTCTAGAATTACAAGCAGACAAAAAGAATGTCTATTTAGATACTTCTTCAATAAAATTCAAAACGAAATGTCAGGCAATGCAGGAAGAAACTGAAAAGGGTGAGTAGAAGAGTTATAATTAAGTTGGTATTACTTTTTATTATAAAAAATTACTGAAAATCTTTGATTGTCACATATAAACAGAACACGAAGAAGTTCTTCTTGTCTTTTCATGTTATGACAGTTAGGGCCTTAAAGCCTTCTATTAGAGTTTTTAATAGCCATCAGTGTTTTTTTGGAACACCTGATGGAAAGTGACTACCGCCGCTCATAAACGCCTGCAACTCAGGAGACACCAGCACGTTGCCGGCCTTTGAGGAAGGAGTACGCTCATTTCTTGAAGGTTTGAAGGTCGTATTGGTCCGAAAATAACGCAGACGATAACTTGTTCCAAAGATTGGTTGTTCGACCCAAAAAGTATTTTGACTGCTGCAGTGTGTAATTATAATAACAATGAGTTTTTAACGAAATCGAATACTGTCTTGCAATAAATGCAGTACAGGAATGAAATGTAAGCTTTCTATTCTTAGGTACAGGTAGCGAAGGGCTTCATCCACGTTGCCTATCAGACGGATCGTTCTCTCCAAGACAATGTTGGCGAGGGAGATGTTGGTGCGTTGATGCTGCAGGACAGAGGACACAACGTCTTGGAGTAGTTGAAGATGCTCCTAAACCAGATCTTTGTGGTATTTCATTTTAGCTGTTTATCCTTTTTGGCTTTTGGTAATTTAGTTATTATTACTGTAATAATAGGCTAGTTGACTCAATTTAAAAACTTGGTTAATAATATACTTTAATATCTATTTTATCCCAAAAAACCTATATTTTAAAGAAAAAGCAATATTTACATTACGTATTATCAAAACCTCCTTTCTAAGGAGAGGCCTATGTCCAGCAGTGAACTATTAAAGGCTTTTGATGTGATGATGCTGTGATGTATTATGTATTAAAAAAAAAAACAATTTAAATTTCGATTGAAAACGCTGAATAGTGTCATGGCGTCAAGAATGACGTCACAGTCTGCGAAACAAAACTGTTTACATCTGTGTCCAGTGTCAACTGAAACTGTATTAAGATGAGAAAATATGGAGTAACCTGCTCTGTTGTATGAAAACGTCAACAACAACAATGATGTTTTGCGCGGCATGACGTCACACTTTCTGATTGGTGTTCGCTGTCACGTGAATTCATGCCTATTTGTTCGAATCTATTTGTTAAAAATATTATTATTCTTTAACTTTTATGAGAAATATACTGTTTTTTCTTATCTATGTATCTTCATTTATATTTTGAAACTATAAACCAAACAATTTATTATTAGTGGACACAAGCCTATTATTATTATAGATTCATATGAAAAATTATTTACACAGAATGAATTCACAAAGGCTTTTAATTATTTGTGTTCAAATGTGTTTAAGTATTAAGTCTACATTCCTTGCATTAAGTTAGTTATTTTAAACTGTACCTAATAATGATTGCATGTAGTATATAATTAAAATAAATTGTCATCGCTAACTTTTTCATGAAGTTTTTCATGAACAGTAATAGCTTAATATATAAATTTATCCTCTGTCGTTATATATGATACTTGATAAGCAGCTGAATAGATCTGTCCATAACTATTATGAAACAAGAAAGAACAGTGAGTGAGAGAGTGAAGGAACACCATTCCGTTACTCAAATTGGACGACAAGGTTGTAGAGACTTTTAGATTATTTATTAATTTAACAAATTTAACGGTACAAGTGATCCGGTTTTGTTTTAGATACGTTTTAATATATAGATTTGTCAGTAACGTTTTAAGCTAAGTTGACCACTGCCGTGAAATAGTGTTGTAATATTCCAGAGGTAACACAAGTAGAATCGGCAGTGCTAGAGCTGGAGCTGCTGAGCGCGGATGGTGGGGAGGGAGGGGAGGTCGGCTCGGCGGCGGCGGAGAGGGCGCGCTCGGCGGTGGCGGCGCGCCTCGCCGCGCTGGGGGCGCGCGCACCGGTACTGCTGGAGCGAGAGCGCGCCGCTCTGCGCCTGCGCACCGCGCTGCACGGCCCGAGAGCCGCTGACTACGTATATCACATCGAGAACTTTGTACGTACCGCTTGATGGAAAAATAACCCTGGGTTACTTTCGCGATAAGTATTTACCTTACCAGCATCAAATGTCAAATAATGATCTCTTAAACAATTATCAAATTGTTAGAATAAATACAAATCTTATTAATAAATTAATAATAAATACAAAAAGCAGCGTAATTACATTGCTAACTTGTTCGAGTCGTAGTCTCTACGACATACTCAAATTCAGTAGGTATGTTATAATTTTGAATATCAATGTTTATTTTAATGATCGAAACTTCGTTGTTGCCGGATAAATTAGTAATGGGTACGGCAGTGCCCTAAGCGGCATAACCGTGGGTGAATATTAACAAACCTTTACTATATTTTAGTTGTATTAAGACCATGATTTTGACTTTCAACTTTAATATAATTTCTTAGCGAATTTACAAAATTAATAATAATTTTATTCCTTATAATAAAACCCTAAATTTTACTCTTAATTGACTGTTTAGGTAAAAGAACAAAAATTATCAGCCCAGTCTGGAGATGCGATTTTGAACGCCGACGTAATTCGCAGCGAATACCGTCTAGCACAGCTACCGCAAATAACTATGCAACAGAGAGAAATACTTAGCGAGTCCACTGTAAGTACTTTAGTTTTCATATAGAACATTGTGCTCTGTGACTTAATCCACAATCGTCAAAATATTACACTGAATAAAAGGTACTTACCTAAAAACTTTTCTCATTCGTAGGTTTCCGCAACAACATCTTACCACACTGCCCTGATAGTTTTAGCAGCAACTTCAGCGTTCATAATAAGTGTTCTCTGCGTTCTGGTAATGCTTTACCGCGCACGACTCCAAAGAGAGCCACAAAAAGCGGAGCGGTTTTTGCCAGCCGCACCGCCGGTCTATGTCCTCTCAGCTGACGAGAAGGCTGAACTAGCAAGAGTTCTCCATGCCCCGCCACCACCTGTCCCACCGCACGATGACCAAACAAGAATATAACCAGAACAAATTTTGAAACTTTGTGAAATTTAAAGTCATGGATATGACAGAGACAGCTTAAAACTCCCGCCAAAATACTAGTATCATCAAGGTTGCCATGAAGGTATTTTGACATATTGCTATTTATGAAAAGATAAATTGTGTCTATGGTACACATTCATTTAAAAAAATACATATTGTCTCTTTCGCTAGGAACGATAATAATATACATACTCGTACTATAAAATTTGTCCTCAACAGACTATACAAAAAATAAAAGTGTATTACTTTGCTATTGTAATACAACAATGTATGTTTCTGTTTACAAAACTACTGTTTGTTATCCATATTTCTGTCCTGTGGATAGTTTGCCTTAAAATGTGTACTACTCTTATTGAATAACATATTGTAAATCTAAATAATATCTATTGAATATTTTCTATATAAAAATGTATACATGTACCTTGTCATATCTATGTAGATGCTGTAGCCAACTTTTAAGTAATGAGTGTAACGCTACAAAGCGCAACGTTTATCTACGTTACTCTTCAACGAACTATTATGAAAATAGTACAGGTACTAATGTAATTATAGGGTCCAAAATAATATTGGTATGAATTTCGAGTAACGTAGATGTAATCAAATAGCACCTTACCTCTGTATTTATAATTATTGACTTACTACTTCGCACTATAAATCGCTTAAAAAATATTAATTATTGTTTGTATTTTAAGGTAACGATAGACATTTGTTTTAATGTAATAAGGCAAGTTTAAGCACTTAAGGAATAAGTTTGCAAAATTAAGGTGAAATTGTAAGTACAGAGTTAAGTTTTATTCAGTATTTAAGGTCGAATATCGGCAATGAACATAATATGATTAGAGACTGATAGGTGATGATCGTATTCTCCTGAAAGTATCTCCCATGAAGTCTATTTGCTATGCTATGTGTGTATGTAAATCATTCCTACAACTTCTTCTTGAATATCTTTAATGAATTTATTTATTGAGAGCAATAAGATCTTAATAAAGAAGTCGCCTTCGTGTTATATTAACACTGGCATGTAAAGTGGGAATTTAGCATTCGCAAAGTAATAGAGTAAAAAATGGATCGAAGGAAGTATGACACCTACATTTATCAGAGCTCGTCACAGTGTAGGTACGTAATTATAAAGACGTAGCACTTAATGTGTTGTCATAACTCCTTGGATGCAAGGATCTGTCTTGTTATGTTTTATATTAAGTATAAGAGCCTATTATTAAGTAAGCGTAAGGGTGTGCGTAAACCAATGCTACGCGCGTCCTTATGCACTTTTTAGTTCCTCTCGTTGAGTCTCGCTCTCTATCTTTCTTAAAAGTATTACGAACTCATAGAAGTAGGTAATAATTTATTTAATCTTTAAATAACCTTATTCTCTTTTAAATACCATTTGAAAAGGACCTGACTCAACGTAGAACTAATCTAGTCTGTTTTTTAATCATGAACGTTCTACTTTTATTATCATTGCATATTTAAATTTCACATTTTCCTTTCTGTTTGTAAATAAATGAAATATTGAACTAAGTTTCTTTGTACCAAACATCTTTCACGTAATAAATTACTACTTCCTCCTTTTTGTTAGGCTAAATAAAGCTCGTCTTCATAACTATTTTGATAATTTTCAAAATAAATAAAGAATTTACTCATATTATGTATAACCATTATTTCATTAAATATTTTTTTGATAAATAATAAGTTTTTTTATTATTATTTAAGACATGATTACAAAGAGTTTCTATACTGTTTAAATTGTGGTTCCAGAATGAATCTAAGGTCACGAGGTCATGTATAAATTAATTAGAACGGCCGTTAACGAGCCCTTATATAACTATACATATTATATTGACTTAGCACGTAACATCAACTTTACTAACTCGTTATTGTTGATAAATCTGTAAAGTGCGTTTAAATCAGTGCCCGACCGAAGGTTCGGTTTCGGCCAGTTTTGGCAAAAAAAAACTAGTTTCGGTTATAGTTTCTGTTTCAAACTCACGGCCACACCGAAACTCAGTGTTCGTAAAGTGACGTGCATCGTTCGGTTAACTTCCCTCCCTTCCCGGCTAACTCGTGGATACCGGCTCTGGCTCAGTTCACTGCCGTCCAGTACGATCTTTTTTATGGTGTTTGGGGGCAAGCGAGCCGACGGATCGAATGATGGTGACTACCGCCGCCCATAAACACCTTCAACTTAAGAGTTATCAGTGCATTGAAGGCAATGGAAAGGGGAGGGTTTAAGCTCCGGTAACCTCTCTCAATTAGTAAAAAGCAACGAAAAAACTGCTTAGCACAGGTTTTCTGTGAGTCAGAGACGGAGCCCGCACCAGGAGCGGGCCGGCGCTGGGAGGGGTCCAGAAGGAGATAGCTACCTGGACCCCTCCTAAACTGGAAGCGCAAAGAGGGCACACCGTGTGGTTTTAGTCGGTTCGAGTCCGACACACCGCCCCGCCGAACGAGAGCCCCGGCGGGGTGACGGTCCGAGGGGATTTCCACACGTAAAAAAAAAAAAAAAAAAATGTTTTCTGTGAGGCCGTAGTATCACTCCGATCGAGCTCGGCCAAAATGTGCAGAGACATGGCTCTCCCACGACCAACTCATCTTGTTGGTTGTATTTTACGTGTAAATTATTTTGTATTTGTTTCGTTTTTACTAGTAACTTACATTGTTTTGTCTCAAAGGCAATTATTACGTATAGAGCTTCGTTATGTTAAATTTTTATTTACCTATGTTTTAGTGACTTATAAAATTGATTATATTCGATTCAAATATTACTTAGGCCGAAAACTAACCTCAAGCGTTCCTAGAGTTTTAAATATTATTTTGTAATACGACCCTTAGATTGTTGTTTGATTACATTCTGTGCCCCTATTTTATCATTTTAACCACACAATAAACTTATACTACGTGTAATCTTCAGTTGCTAAACTTTAACTATGAGAAAACGCGTAGGTATAATCGGTTCAAATTACCTAGTCAGCCACCTCGCCCCGTCCTTTCCCGCCTACCGCGTGGGGTAGCTATCTAGTTAATTTAGACAGGTGAATTTATGGTGGTATCTGAGAGGATTTTTACAGGAAAAAAAGGTGAATTTCTAGTACTTACTACCTACCTGATATATTTTTTACCTTACCTTATTACCTACAGTGATTTTAGATGGTATGTAGGTATAAGTAGTTAAATGACAAAAAAAAATACACAAGATTTTATTATACAATCGAAATTTCAAAATGATAGTGAGTGTAGGTTTCGGTTACGAACTTTTGGCCCTTGTTTCAGTTTCGTCGACCGAAACTGAAACAAGTAACAAGAAAGTGAAAGACCACTCAAATCTATAAAATCATATAGATAGTTCAACTCAGTTGTGCGCGCGGCCCTATGTGTGCGTGGGCTTGTAAATATACAACTTACATTCGTGTGGCAGTCGTCGTCCGAGCACCGCGTCACTGCCACACGAGCACAACTGAGTTGAACTATCTATACCACACTATGTGATATTATGAGATTGTGTGGTGTTACACTTATTAAGTGGTCCATTATTATTTAGAAGTAACTGTTTACGGAATGCTTTTATTAATTAACAAAAAACATTATGAGCTTGTTTAATAAATTTATCCGTAGCAGTAGCACGAGCAAAATAAGATTTCGTTAAAGAGAGTATGGTATCCATAGTAGTGTAGCGTAGGTTTATAAGTTACGTATGTATTTTTCATCATCATCAACAACAGCCTAATAGCCCACTGTTGGATATAGGCCTCTCCTTAGAAAGGAGCTTTTGACCTACTACCACGCTGGCCAGACGGATTGGTATAGGGTTTGTATCAAGTTTTTCTTCTCTTTGTAGTGCTGTTGCTCTGCGTAGTTTGCTCCCTTTCTTACGATACCCACGGAATGAACAAGGGTGGTGACATTCCGTAGTCTTAATCCGACTCCGCACTATATATGGATTTTTAATTTACCTACTATAAATGTTATATACAACAATATCCATAGTATACTTAACACAGTGAAGTCGGCAAACAGAAGTTTCTTACTTCCTAATTTGTAAGTGCAGCATAATTTTTAAAGGTGCACCTACAAAAAACCTCTGGTCACTAAGACTGTATTAGGATCGTAAGTTAACACAAACTCGTTGGGCTATGAGATCGTTTGCTTCTGGGCAGAACCATGACCTTTTCGCCATTGTACTATACTAATACTTTCAGAAGTTCAGAACACTTAATAACCTCCCCTTGATTCTTTTGTACCCCGGTAAGTATTTATTGTAGTGCGGTTGCTGCCCATAGGTTTTCTTAATTAAATATTAATTTTTTTTAGGAATATTCTCTATGGAGCTATTTCCATCTATAATAATGAGCTTGCCGCAATTTCTAAAATAAAAATGGAGTACCACAGTTATATTTTAATTAATTTTAAAACAATAATTTGTCCTGAGTGGGAATCGAAATAATGAATGAAAAATAAATTAAAGATCAAAAAGGACGCACATGATATTCTTCTTCAGCTAAGATTTTTTTTATTCATTTTAGTCTATGGTTTTTTGTAAGTGTTGTAATACTAGGTATTTGGTCCTTTTTTACCCTCAATCAAATTTTTAGTCTTGCACCACCAGTTTGACAATTTTCACTTACCTTATCTGTCACGTTGTAGATGACATTTGTTTCAGTTGACAATTTGCAGGGGCCGGCCTTCTGGGGTAATTTATTTCAGAATGAATCAAGAAGGCGGCGTAGCTTGTTGCGCGGTATGCAACGAAATAACTCAGCGGAGATGCGGTCGCTGCCTTGACGTATATTATTGTAATACGGAACATCAACGGCAAGACTGGAGAAGACATAGAAGTGAATGTGTACCCAAGTTAGTGAAGGATTCGAAAAGCGATAATTCAGGTGAACGTTCAATACTTGTCAAAGAAGATACGAAGAAAGTGAAAGACGTATCTTCTAATGTCATAGAAGACGTGCAAAAAAGTTCAAAAAAAGAGTGTAGTGACAAACATAGAAAAGGTAAAACGAAACACGTCAAAAAGTGTGGTAAGGAGGGTAGCACAGATAATGTTAGTAAACATTCGGCGGTAGCGACTAAAAACTTTAAACAAAGTGAGGAGGCCTTAGCGAAAACTACCACGCAGAATGACAATAGTGTAATTTCTAGTGTAGTGTATACAAATCGAGACTTAAGTACCCATAGTGCCATAACATATGAAGGTTCGTCGGAACAAGAAGTGTTACGTGAATCTGCACAGCAACTGACTACTGTGGACTTTGCCACAGCTGGTACCTCAAGTGTGCTGAGATCAGTGAACAAAACAGACTCTAGTAAAATGCCTGTGTTGCCTAATTATACAGCTGAACAGGGTACCCGAGTTAAGGAGTACCCTGAGGCTTCATTAAAGGGTAGCGGAGCACCTTTTAATCACATGCCCAATAGCTTTTACATGGATCCGAGTGACCCATGCTATGAAATTTGTCAGAGAGTTATAAAAGACATGACTCGTTTTGGAGTGTGTGTTCTAAACAATTTCTTGGGTAGAGAGAGAGGACTGATGGTGTTACAGGAAGTCTTAGACATGTATAATACAGGTATATTCTCGGTAAGTCTCTTTTTATTAAAAGATAATGATGTAATCTCTTATTTGCAATACTTTAATCTTTTTGTAATGACTGCAAATAATTATCTACAAGAAAATACATAAGCTGATCTATAGTTCCTGACTTAATTCATTTAAATTATAAAACATGCATGTCTAATAAAAACTATTAAGAGCATATCATAAATAATAGAAAATTTTCTATATTTGTTTGACTAAAACATACAAAACATAGTTTTAGTAACTGCATAAATATCTGAATCATAAGTAACTGCAAAAAGATATTTTCAAAATTACTTTACTATGCTACCATACTATGCTTTAAATTTTTGTTAAAATCCAACAAAGTAAAATTTATTTTAACAATTCCTAAAAACTCAAGAAAAACTAGTTTTCATAATAAAAAATAAAAATTAAGCTGTTTTGTTTTCAAAACTTGTGTTATATGGACTCAAATTATACTTTGCCGTTTTTTAAGGTGGTCACTTGCCAAAACATATTGAATTACATACTAAATTTCTTAAGTCTTATTTTGTAGAAGATCTGAAATGTTTAGGATGTAAATCTTTTATAGAAGTACGACTTCTACAAGTAACATTTTTTTTCCTTAATCTAAACTATTCTATTGTTTATATAAATAAAGTAAAATGAATAATTTGAAGAAAGCTTTTTTGACACATTCAAACTCCCACTGTTATTGTTGGAAATCATCTTATGTAGAGTCTAGTCATAGATCAACATGCACAATAGCAACAATCTTTGTTTTGTCAAATATTCAGCAAAATAAATATATATGTATCGAAAATCCATACTAAGGTTTATAAATGCAAAAGTGTGTCTATCTGTCTGTTACCTCTTCACACTTAAACCGATTTAGATGAAGTTTGGTATAGGAGTTCAATTCTTGATTACGGACTTAAGCTAGGCCGCAATAAACGATATACACCGGGTAGAGCCCCCGGTAACAGCTAGTCCATTATGTGCTTGTGCCAAATTTATAACCACTTGTTTCCAAGAGGTTGAGCCTTATGAGAAGAAAGGGCAAAACAACCGCACATTGATATGTAAAACAAGGAGGATGCGAAGAATAATACCTTACCTTAGATATAAATTTGACTTTATGGACAGGGTTAGTAGATAGGTATTATTAATCTATATTATAATTAATTATCAGAACACTATTCTGCTCATAGCCCTTACCACGTTATCACATCACATCATTAATAGTCCACTGCTGGACATAGGCCTCTTCTTACAAAGGTCATTTAACGTTGTCCAAATGGGTTGGTATAGGGTTTGTGTCAAGTTTTCCTTCTCTTTGCAGTGCTGTTGTCCTGCGTAGTTTGCTCCCTTTGTCGGCTCTTACGATACCCACGGGTTGAATATGGGTGATGACACTCCGTATTCTTAATCCGTCACCACACGGGCGGACCTCTTAGGACACAGTATTACTATGGGGTTTCCCATCAAAATGTAAGCCATATTTCATATTTTCTCAAACATTACTGTTTGAGCCAACAATCCTAGTAGTTATCTGTTGATCTAGTTGTTAGTCAACCTGATTGTAGGAACCTGAAGGTAGAGGTTGTGGGTTCAATTCCTACCCACGACAAACAATTATGTGTTGTTGTGAACGTGATATTTAAATGATCATTAATTTAGAAATAAATAAGTATGTTTATCAGTAATCTGTCTGGCTCTGCCTAGTTTGGGATCAGACTACTGTGTGTGAGATGTGTGAAGTTATTATTATTATTTATTTTGTCTGGGTGTGGTTTGTTTATAATATGTTTATCAGCTGTGGCTCTGTCCTAATTTTGGGATTAGGCCATATGTGGTGTGCATAAAGTTATTATTATTGATAGCTGGTAAAAATCTCGTTATATATAGATATTTGTTTATTTTACTATTTTAAATGAAATGTTTAGTAAAATAGTAAAATATAATATAGATATAAAATATATAATATAGGTAATGTAATATGTGAAGCTTTTCACGTCATCAATATATCACCATTGTTGTTGTTGTTGTGTGCTTTAAGATAAGATAAGTAGACTTTATTGCACACTAAACATTACATCAACAGCCTGGTAGGATACTATAATGATGTTACAACAGTAATGTTTTTTTTATGGGACTAATCCAGGAACAACAGATTTGACCCATGTTATGGCACTCGGGAAGTCCCATGAAAAGTTAAACTGCCTTGGAACACTCAATGAAATTAATTAGAAAACAATTGAGGAATAACAATAATTATAACAAACATAAACAAGTGAAATATAGTAATAATAGTAATTCGATACATCTCACACACCGCGGTCTGATTTCAAACTAGGCAGAGCCTGTACTATGATAACCAGACTACCGATAAGCATTAATGTGTAATCAAATAATATATCCCTAAAAAGAGAAAATAGATATTGATCATCTAAGATAAATAGGGTAGATTGTTGTATTTATTATTCATAATACAAATAAAACCTTTGAATCGCCTATCCTGATTAGAAAATATTGTGATGCCACATCATATGTAACCCTGTATGTAACCCATGTATCACAAATAAACGATTTGATTTGATTTGATATGTTTTTACAATTCACAATTAAATCATCAAATGAAATTATAGGGTTAGAGATCCTATGTTTAAAATAAATTATATTGCCTGAATCATAAAATGTTAAAGATGTTACATTTAACAATTCAGTATGTTTCATGATTTGTACTTCATTTTCAATTTAATGTTTTTAAATATTCAAATCAATATTAGAAGTATATGATTTGACATTAATGGAGATGACGTCACCGCCTGTATTTCGTTCCTTCTGCATTCATCCACATCTCATTCATCTCATCATTTTGATGTTTAATAAAAAGCACTAATTGGACTTGCCAGACAGCTATCCTCTTTGCAAATATTAACACAGACATGTAATTTGAAAACTATTAATAAAAAAGAAGTAAAATATTATAGTGAAGGAGGGGGTATTCAAAGCAAAAAAACTTTGCAGAGCAACAGTACTGCATATAGAAGGCAAACTTGACACAAACCCTATACCACCCTGTTGGGACAGGATGGTATAGTAGGTCAAAACCTCCTTTCTAAGGAGAGGCCTATGTCCAGCAGCAGTGGACTATTACAGGCTGTTAAGGTCAAGTGATGTAATGGGGTGTTCGGAGAGGGTGTGACTTTATATTATTACGATAGGCTTTTGTATGGAAAAGGTTCACTGTAATTGTTAAGGAATTTAAGTTTTCATATTCAAAAGGCGGTTATCACTAAATAATTTATTATAAATGTGTAAATTAGGCTTTAATCGCGAAAATGTTTGTAAAGTAAGTCGGCAATAGTACCTTTTTATGAGTGAAGAAAACAACATTTATCCATAATTGAATGATAATTGGAGGAACGGTAGGCACGGCCTGGCATAAAATATGAACAAACAAACATTAACTTTTATAAATAATATATTTGAAAATGCCTTTTGACATTTCAACCAAAATACATCTATCGTTGTCACTGGTTGGCGTGGTCAGAGCGTGTGCAAACTACCATAGCTGCAATTTACGATGGGTCGAGGAACTGTCAAATGGACATTGGGGAAGTCGAGTTCTAAACTATTACTAGTACTCATTTTATTACAAATATTTCACAGACTATACTTGAAAGAGTTTGAATTTAAAACAATGTAGTACTGGTATCTTTAAATTCCATTATTAGCAAATGCGAATAGACTCCATTCGACGAGCGACGTTGTAAGTGTAGTGTATAGAAATATTGACAGTATGAAAAAAAACAAGCAATCGATACCATAGTCGCATATGATGTTTAACATCTGTCATCTGACCTACCATCTGACGGCATACTCTAGCACCACGTGCGCTCATTGGTTATTTATAATAGCGCGCGCTTCCCTGGCTTCCTGTTACGAACTTCCGTCCTTATTCACAAAATCTCTCCCACAAACTGCAGAAAAGGGGGAAGGAAGTTATTACAATTAGTACAAACAATATCAAGAACATTTTTCAGCAAATGCCAAAACTCGCACCTTACAAAAACTTCTCCGAGCTTTCACCAGTCCATTTCGCCTATGATTCAATCGGTAGAATTCGTTGGAAACGTCAGACAACATCATAGATTGAATATGTATAAAGTTCGTAAAATTTAACAACAACTATTAACTACATTACAAAAAATAATTGTTTTTAAATAGGTACTACTTAATAATATTAATTGTAATATTGTTTACGAGTTACTTACTTTTTTGTAGATTATTTCTTACGCGGAAAATCATGATCACGTAATGTGCTGCGCTTTCCATGGTTGAACTTCGAGAAATAACATTTCTTCCTCAGTCAACCTACCTACCATCGGATCTGTCAAGCCTCTTCATTGCTTTTATAGAAATGGTAGCCTTTGTTCGAGGCCTTGATCGCGTGAGTTAATTATTAATCCCGTGCGAACATTTTTCTTGAAGGCATAATGATGTCATTTATTGTCGTTTTGTTGTCTGTGACAAAGTGGATCGAAACTTTCATGAGGCTTAGATGAATGTTACGCAAAAGAACGAAACTACGAAAAAGAACCAATTTATCATCATTGTTTCATTACACACAATTGACGTAAAAACATAATAAACCGTAATACAGGGATCACACCTCAATTTATGATGTTTTAACTTTTCCATAATATCTTTTTCTAAAATACAATTTGCAAGTCTCTCTAGTAATTGCAATATATTAAAAAAAATAATGTTTGTATTTATGAAAGATTTTTAATACGCGACTGTTGATGTTTGATACAGAGGGGACAGTTGGTGTCAAGCCCTGGAAGCACAGACGCGCAGACGATCCGAAGCGATTTGATCACCTGGATCGACGGCAAAGAGACTAAATGCTTCTACATTAGACAACTTATTAGTCAAGTAAGTATTTTGTCCTAATTTTTTATTATTAAAGCCTGTATTTCAGCTATCTGTTACGAACTTTTTTATTTTCTTTTTTTCTTTAAGAAAACTCAAGCACTAGGAATAAATCATGTGTCCCGGGGGACTTTACAAACATAAATGAAACGGACACAAAGTATACCCATACTCAGAACAACAATTTGTGGTTCACACAAAGTGTTGTCCCATGTGGGGTTTGAACCCGAGTGTTGTACTCGGCGTAATAGGAAGCGTCGTGGCGACCGCTTAAACCACTACGCCATCCGTGCAGTCGACTGATATGTCTGTTTATAAATACCTGTGAAGATTATATTTAATCAGTACTATAAATGCCATAAATCGCTTAAACTTAGGAATGTAAATGACTGATTAAAGCTCCTACTGTACACTTGCGATTATAAAAATTAAGTATCGTATGATGTGTATTATCGACTGATAGTAATTGGTTTTATTATGGAAATTCAAGGATTACGTTATAGATTTCTTCTTGCTTCTGATTACGAATGGAATGACATCACAGTCTACTGTGATTACTCATAGGTTAGGATTGCTCTCCCAGCTAGTAATTATTGCTGCCATGATGGCGGTTGAGGAGGGATGGGGTGCAGTGATCTCTTTCTGTAAAGCTGTAATGCTCCTGAAAGAGACCGCTGAACGGGATCGGGAGAGGGCCGATCCCGAACGAAGAGGACGTCGGCGGTGCTAGCAGCCGTCGACGGGGCCGCCAGAGAGTGGGGACCTCTTGTGGCAAATTTGTTGCTGCGGTAGCGGATAGAATGGCAGCCTACTTGCATTAAGACGCAATTGCATTAGGCTTGATTAGGCATGGTATTAATTCGGGGAGAAGTTGAAATAACATGGCCCGGGAGCAGGAGTATTAAAGAAAGAAGAAAAAAAGAAGTTTCGTATTGCTCTTTAATCACTCGTTATTGACAATAAGACGATGCACGACGATGTGTTTAGTAAAGTTGAAGACTCTCAATATACTAGACACTATACTAACGAGTGATACGGGTGTATTTAGTTCCGTTTTGTGTTATGATAACTTTCTTTATACAAGTGCATGAAATAAATATTTAATGCTATATTAAACTACGCTTCACCTCACTTAGCTTATCTCTTCATATATTTTTTGACATTTGACATTACAAATTACTACAAAATACATCATAATAGTGATAATTGGCAATATAATTATAAACTTTTTAACAATTCAACAAATATAGTATCTAAAAAAATGTAGCTAAACCCTCTACTCCAAAGGGCTATAATTTTTTTACAAAAATGTCCTAAAAAAAATAAAGGGCATTTATAAGTATCACTATATATTTTCATCGACGTTTGAGATGAGAAGTATTAAAAATAAAACAATTCACTTATCACTTGAAAAAAAAAAATTCCTTGCTTACTACTACTACCTCTAGAACACCTACCTACATCTAGATTATCGATATAGGTTTACATTAATTTCTAAAAATAAAACAGTCCAGCAGCTTCCAGTAACTGTTTTTTATATGATTCCGTTACCATCAATGAAAATATTTAACTTTTTATTTGTACAGTAAAAGATCTGGGAGTATCTATAAAGCACCCAACGTTGACTGCAATGTGGTTATATCGCATTGTGGCTTGTGACCGAAAGTTGAATCGGTATTCTTCTAGTCTTAGTATTACTTTACTACGAGAATACCTTTTATGATATTTGTAAGATTGAGAGTAGATAGAAACTGATTTTTGAACGAATTTTTATTATAAGAATTATTAACCTTCTGATCTCACCGAAAATCAACTTATTTAACTTTAGCGACAATTTTATTTTTGTGTAGGCACTTTTAATTTTTCGCGTTTTGACTTTTGCGTAACCACTAATACTACCACTACTTTGAGTAAATATGCAGTGACGAGATGTATACTATCTATACAGCTATGCTATCCGTGCAGGTGAAGGGTAAACAAAAAACAAAGAACAAGTAGTATGGTACTACACAATAACAAGTGATTACTGATATCGAGGCGAGCCAATACACGAGTGCCAGAGAAACGCCAGTATTGGTTATTTGAAAGATTAGTTTTGCACTTGAAACTAATCCTTTTTAGATGTTTTATTGATTTTGTACAGTTTTGTCCAGACCGGACCAGTTGAATTTTTGTGGAGACTTTTTTTAAGCTTAAAGAAAGATTAAGAAATACATAATTTTTAAAGCTTACGGCTAGGCCGAGTCCTGAGATTTGACAGTCGTCACAATACAGTAAGATTAAGATGTATTGTATGTATTAAATAAAAATAATAATAAAATGTTTAGTGTTATAGTGGAAACATATCAGACTTAACGCATAAACTCAGATGGACTAAATCAGTTATCATATTATTGTCGTAATTTTCCATAAATTTTCCAGTCCATATACATATAATAAGCCTTCGCATTAACAAGTGAAGAGCAATCAAAACGCAATTAATGGTCTTTGTCTTCCAGGTGGACAATATCATACTGAGAGCGAATAAGATGGCTAACAACGGGAAGATGGGTGATTACGTCATCAATGGCAGAACGAAGGTAACCATAATTTGATTGTGACAATAAAACGGCAAGCCTACATTAAACTACACATCAATTAATCATCAGTCAGTTAATATAAGTTTAGAAAAAAAACAACCTTATGATTGGGTACACGGTTAGCAATGATAGTGAGACACAACTTACATGCTTTTATAATCGATTAATCATTAGCGTATAAATGACAAATCTTGTTATTTGAAAAAGACGCAAGGACAGGCCATACTTCTTACTTACTTTAGCCTATTGCCGTCCACTGCTGAACGAAGGCCTCCGCCAAAGAGTGCCAACCATCTCGGTCTTAGGCAGTCTGAATGACAGACCATGGTTTTCTAAAATACCTACGAACAACCCATTCCTAGTATTAGAAGCGTCGAATAATTGTATTGCTCGCTTACTGTCAGATAGGCCTTATACTGGTTTACTGCTTTAATTATACATAACATCGTTTTAGACTAAATATAAAGAAAACAAATATTGAAATTATTATACACATTATGCGCATTCTCAAACGACCGAATGTAGAGAATACGGTATTTCTAGTAAGTTGTATTCTAACATCTATATCAATATTCTTATATATTAGACCAAATAGTTTTTGGCATTAGGGGCCGAAATGAAAACGTTGAGAAACGGGTTAAAATTAGGCATACGAGTAACTGATACAATCGCCCGTAAGTATGCCGACGCCATTTGTATGTAAATTTAACTGTTAATGATAGATCTGTTAAAAATAGAACACTATTATTTTGTTTCTAGGAGCCCTATGCAAATTTGCGTAGTAAAAAAAAAACGAGAAAGAAAGAAAGATGAAATGAAAGATGAATTTAGAAATATGAGTCAAAACTTGGTCCTTCCTTAGTTGTTCGATAAAAAAATGGTACATTATTTGTGACGTTTATAGCGGATTCCTGGAGGTGAAGTCCGAATTGCTGAATTTCGGATTTTCTAGATACGTATCGTACACACGAATTCTGTTTATCTCTTGTCAGTAAGCTATTATCAATTTCGTCAAGAATTAAAAAATGCACCCATTGTAATAAAATCATATCTTTATAGTTGTAAGGTTCTAGAAACTAACGTACACATAAATATAAATTTATGAACTAGTAGTTTGGAGCTTAAATAAAAAAAAAGCCTCTAAGGCCATAGACATTTACAAACTACGTCACCAACCCCACTTTCGGTGTAGAGTTCTGACGATCCTATAAACTAGAAGAAAATATTTAAGAAATAAAAGTGCATTAATCGTAGTGAATTTTTTTGATTCTAAAACAATAAAAGAAAAAAAAGCTATTGTTGTTTATGAGTTTTCAGAACGAGGAATACTTGGACCGATACAAATGAATATTTTTATACACAAGGATTTGCTCTCAGCGAATAGAATGGCAACTGATGTCGTTGTCGTTAGATTTCTTGTCGTGATACAATCATAACTCTCACTACTCGGGATCACTAACCAGTGGACCAACAGGTCCGTCTACTAGTCTACTTGACCAAAACACAAAAGACACAACCTATATTGAGCTGAGTTAATATAGACAGATATAAAATCAAAAATCGAATTCGGCAGTCAGTTATGCTAACCGAATGCGAAAAATACTTATCTAACTATACTCTAAAACACAACCACGTCTTTCAGTACAATTCTTGAAGAAGGTTAGGAAACTGTTGGAAAAGGAAGTGTCCATAACCGGTGATAAGGCGCCACGAAAAATGTGTTGTAACATGCCATACAGAATTTTACGTCCAACAATAACTACTGCAGTTCAACTGCACTTAAGTTTTCTTATAACAATATATCATTCATGTAAACAATAAAGTCGACGTCATTATGCTATGTATAATGGTGTCTTGTCAAATTGCATTCATCTGGGTTCACTAGCATCTGATATAATTGTTAGTGATCATCTGCACTAAGCTGGTATTTCCATGGAAATACTAGGCTTTTTGTGGTATAAGTGTGATTTTGCGGTGGGTGTCATGTGGTTTTCGTCAGGATATGCACAATTTGTTTAACTTTTTTAACACATTTTTAAGGCAAAGTACACGTCTAGCGAAGAAAATTCGACACATTAATTAACGATGAAAGAAATCAGCGGAAGCATTAATTTCATTAAAAATAAGTTCTTGTTAGTGTCTTTTAATAGTTAAAACAACCGTAGGCATGGCTATAAAATACAAATAAAAACACTATATTTTCATGGTTGTGATTTGTGAGTCTAGCTGCACCTGACTTTATATAGTCCATTAATAAAATCTAAGACAACTTATAATTTAAAAAAAAACTTCTATATCGTTTGAGAAATGACGGAGTTATGAAGAAATAAACATTTATATATAATACATACATATGACTGCACGGATAGTGTAGTGGTTTAAGATGTCGCCACGCCGCTTTCTACTGCGTGAGTGTTGTGGGTTCGATCCCCACATGGGACACCACTTTGTGTGATCCAGCACGCAAAAATCGGAACCGATCGCTAAAAATTTAGCATTTCATTGTTGTTTAACAGTTATCTTTTAAATTCCCTAACGAAAACGATTTGTATATCTGACTGCGAGTAATAGATAAAGACGACAGTAGACAAACGGTATTTACATTTTTATCACTCGCGTCAATAGACAACGGATATTAACGGTTCATTCACTGTAAGTATCTTTAAAGTATACCAATTAAAACATAAGCAGAGTCAAATACAAGTATACCTAGTCTTGCCATAAATATTAATAAAATTTTAAATTATAACACGAGAAAACCTTTTTTTCTCTCGGAAAACGTTTATTACTGTGTCGTTTATTGTTATACATTATATAGCAGCTAGCAGATAGCATCAAAAACTCATTCAAAATGATCTCCATTGGCTTTAAAATAGTCCTTTAAAAGTTGAGGTCAGTTATTTTTTTATTTTACATCTTCATGCACTTATGCACATCGGCGGACTTAATGCCCTGGGCATTCTTTACCAGACAACCTTTGGTTGGTGTAGAAATCTTGCAGGCTAGGTACACCGAGGTTACAATTGTAATCACTGATTATATTTTTTTTTTTATCAATAAGCATGTAAAACTAAACTAAATTGACATATATTATGCAATTAAACAAATATATAAATAAATATACTACACTTATGGAACAAGAAGTCGGTTAAAAATATTTAACACCAATAGGCGCTAAAATGAGAAAACAGTGAATATTCATAAAAGAATAACAGATACCAAACTCAAATGTAATATTATGTTTTTTTTTTATTGTAACTGTATTTATGGCCAGACACTAAGTATATAAAATTAATAATTATAATTTTGAAATAATTAAAATTTATTTCAACAGTTTTTTTTGTCTTTTTCTTTCTTATATGATGGTGAGAAGTCATCTACCTCGTGATTGCCCACAATACAAACCGTGGGCGAGCCATGCTTCGGCATATTTTGCCCGGCTCAATCGGAGTGATACAGAAAACAGCTATTAAGCAATTTCTTTGTCGCTTTTCACCGAGTGAGTGAGGTAACCGAAATCACGTTTAATAATTAGTTGCAAGCATTCTATTTTTAAAGTAATGCGTACTCTTGTTTTTTCTTTCCATTTTTTTTCAACGGCTCAGAGTCTCTTGATATTACACGTATCAGAATAGAAAAAATATACGCCTTTGAAATGTGTGTGAGTGTTATCGCCCGATGTTGCGAATTCCTTGGACAGCTAAAATCCCAAAATTCTTGATCAACTCGGAACCATAGTTGGACCATGGATAGTTTTGCTTACCCGTGGTACAACCAGTTGGACAAAGCATTTGTTCATACACCAGTTGGACAATAGCCCTTCAGTTGTACCACGGGTCATAACAATGAATTGCAGAAAAGAAAAATTCTTTCAGTTAGACCATGAATAGTTTTACTTACCCTTGGTACAACCACAGTTGGACCACGGGTCGGGAGCGGTAAAAAGGCAGAGTGAGATGTAGAAACGTAGAGAAAACATCCAAGAAGAAGTATCAAATTGGACACGACCTTCAGTAATTGAAGAACCGAGACTAAAAAGAAGCATTATAAAGTAAAAAAAAAACTATAAATTTATAAAGTAAAAAATAACTATAAAAACTATACAAATCTAACTAAGTAAAATCCTATTGTGAAAGAATAACAGCTGATGCTTTTACAATAGTAACTTTAACTGCATCGCATATTCGACCTTGTCCTACTGAGTAAACGAATGTGTGTCACTGGGTTTCTAAAACTTCCATTCATAACAGATTGAACAACTAACGTTAACCTAAATAAAAAAGATTAAAAAAAAAGAAAAACTGACGTTAACGTTCGATTTGGGCCAACACAGCCACATTCATTCCAATATTTAATTAAAAATTTCCTGTATAATCAGTGCAAATGGATATTTTTCTTATAGATTTATTGATAGTTCTAATGCAGTGCAGTAATGAAGATATATTTTTTTTTAAAAGAATGTTAGAACTAGCCATCAAAGTGACACATAAAACGCAGATATGTTTTTTAGAAATCTAGAGATTAGCACAGATTATTGAGATTGAATGGTTGAAACTGCTGCACACGTTTAAAATTCTAATCTTAAATTAGATAAGGTAGACTTGCTAACAAGTCAATTAACTGAAGCAGAGCTTGCAGACAAATACAATACTATCGAAAATAGTGTGTCGTATCAAAATCATTTTTTTTTTTTAAAGGTTAGTCTTTTCAAAGGTTTTCTTCGTTACCTGCGAATACATATATTCCCTTCCATTTTAAATTTAAGACCCTATTTCTACGTATCTTCTATATACTTGGTCAATGTTAATATTCCTAAGCTGTCTTTTAGTACCCTATTAGTAGTTTTTATTGCTGCTTTTAAACATGATTAGATAGTATTAGATTAAAATTGTCCCCTCCCCTACCTTTCTCTCTCTTTCTCTTGCTATTTTAATGTCAAATTTATATTTAATTTTCGCTCTACACGTTCACTGTTGTAAGATGGCATTAGAAATAATTGA